TCACAAAATGCAAGTCATGAAAAATCGCAGTTGGGCATTTAGGTAATTTACAATTTTTTTCAGTGTTATGAGTAATAAACATTTCTATGTATAAATTTTATTCAAGTTTTTCCTAGAATAGACTCCTAGATACAAGTTATGGATACATTTAATGTTTTTGTACCAGTTGCCAGATCGTTTTTAAGAAAGGTAGTATCCATTTTATAGTCTCTTAATACATCCTGATGCCTGTCTCATTATATACTTGGAAATATTAGGTATTATTACTTTCAAGAACCTTTGTAGTAGCATCTGAAGCTCAAACACATTAGCCATTTTTATTTCCTTTCTGTGCTGTATTTAGGTCCCCTGTTTATTTTGATATGCACCTTGAAAATATTTTAGGAACCAGCTGGCATTTTCCAGAGAATCATGAATCATTCTTTAATAAATAAATCTGCTGCTACTCATTGTCAAACTTCAGTTGTCCATATGGCAAAAAGACCAATTCCTATTCATTATGCACAACTGAGTCTTTATGACTTTGTATGTGAAGTAAACTTTAGGTTGTGCCTGCAAAGAATCCTCTGCAATTGGCCAGCTTTGTAGGGTTGGTGGTTACACGGACGTGCTGTCTGTCTGTTCCTGCTGCTTCGAAGGATGCTGGAATCTCTTTGAGGCGACTCCCAAGTCTTCATGGTTGGGTTGGTACTGTAGCTAATCAGCCTAAACTGCTGTTTGTGGTGCTTGTATCCAGTGTGGTAGCACTGGTTTGGTTCCTGGTTGCTCCACTAGCAGTCCAGCTTCCTGCTAATGTGCTTGGACAGAAGTTCAAGTACTTGAACTCCTGCCACCCACAATGGGAGACCTAAGTGGGACTCTTGGCTTCAGCATGGCCCGGATCTGGGTGCTTTGGGTAGTTGGGAATCAATGAGCAGATAGAAGACATCTTCTGTCTTTCTCTGCTGCTCTGCCTTTCCACAGATCTTAAAATGAGTCTCACTGGAGGAGTTCATAGATGCGGGGAAGCCCAGGTTTCAAGTCACAGAATCACAGATGTATCAGAACTTAGTAAAGGATCAATCCTGATTGCAGGTCATCACTTTTGTCATAAGTACGGCTGTAACAATAGGTAATAGTTGCCATAATGGGGCTCTCTTAATGCGTATGCATATGTGTATAAGTGATAGCTTCAGAAAGTTCTTGGGGGAAAAGTGCAATGTGGATTTTCCATGAATTTCTGGAAGCTTCTTTGGCTGTGTGTTTGGAGGGGGAAGTTCAGGGGAGAGCAAGAGGGAAAGATCAAGAAAGTGGGAAGGTTTAAACTTTTATAGCTACGGATTTTCCCCTCAGTTCCCTTTTATTACATCTGTCCTTATCTAGGGAGGGGAAAAGCCATTGGAAGGCTGGTCTTGAATTTAGGAGCTTGTGAAATTTGTGCCTGACGAGTGGTAGTATTTTCAAAGCTTCGTGTAATTTGAGAGTTGTAGCGGTTATCTTGATGCAAAATAATCTACCCTCGTTATGATTCTAACAGCAGTAATCCACAGCTGAAGGATAGGAATATTTCTATAAGGAACCGTTCATCTTTTTCTGCACAGAAGTTGCTAGGCTATCCTGTTGGACCATTTCCACATGTGTGCAAGTCAATGTAATTATGTTGGCAAGAGTGGCTTTGATAGTATCTTTCAAGCTTTGCTCGTTTTCAGGATTCTGCTTGGCTGATGATTTTCTACGTCTTCCTTTCATTATCAGAACACAGGTTTCCACATGGTTTCCTAACTGTGTAGTGAAAGACGGCTGAAGTGTCTTCATTCTGTAAGTGTGGCAACTGGCAGTCACAAACATGACTCATCAACTCAGTTACATGAGCACGCCTGGCTAAAGGTTCCCTTCTCTGTGAAACCACATTACCTCCCTTTAAACACAGCCGCATCTGGGCCAACTCTGCAATCCCCCCATCGGTAGCAAAAAACGTTTCCTCTGCAGCACCCGTTCTGCCCGATTATGACGAGAATCACTTTGAGAATGCAGAAGTGGCCTTGAGAACTCACTGCCCAAGTTCTCAGTTTGATGAGCAGAACTAGTCCTTAATATGCTGGAGGTTGACAGTTGCCTTGTCACATTCAAACTGTTTCTTTGAGCCTAGATTTTATCCATCCCATGTCTGTACTTGAGAATATAAAAGTCAAAATTAAGCCCATGGGTTTCTCTTTGGGTGATGGGTAGGGCACTTCCTGTAGGTAGGACTGTGAAGCACTCTAACTTCCACAAGTCTTTCCAGGATTCAAATCTCATTCAAATCTCTTTATAAAGAGATCAAGTGGCACCAGAATTAGCACACTTATGCACCCTAGAGAACTTATTTTGAATCCTATAGAAAACAGGGGCATATATCCCAGCTTTTTTTGAAAGAATTATTTGTTTATTGCAAAGTCAGATATACAGAGAGGAAGATCTTTTGGGGTCACTTGGAGCGAATCATCAGTTAGCTTTAATCTAGTTTTCTTGTGGCTGTAAGTCTTAGGAAGATTCAGAAGAAAATGTATTTAAGATATCTTTATACTTTGAGTTGAACTTAGAGTTCAAACAATATACTGAGGAGCACACAACATGTTTTTCAATTGTCTTGGTATCTCTCTGATCTCCTCTGGCTCTTAAATATTTACAGTGTACTCAACATGAGAAATGGGATTGACCAAGACCAAAACGAATAGCCAAGCAATAGCAAAAAGAGGCTAACCAGGGAAGATCTGTATGGAAAACATTTAGAGTTGTAATTTGAGAAAGTGTGGCTAGTTAGGACTAATATCACTTAGTAACTTTTCTATTTCGGCAAAACTACAGATCCCTTTATATTGACATCTATATCAAATTGAGTAAATGACACGAAATTGGCGCTTTTAAAGTGAGTTTAGTCATTTTGCCTAGATTTGCTGTTAATAGTACACTTTCGAATTCCAATGGCATGATCTAGTTGAAGAACCAAATCATGAATGTGAAAAGCTTTCTTAAAATAAGTACACTTAAAATGTAATAATATTAGATTACTTTTTAAAGAAATTCCAGGTTGTGTATAAATTAAGCATAAACCAAGCAATTTTTTAATGATTTCAATTAAAGTGCTTTGTTTTCTTGGTTCTTTACTTTCCTTACATAAACTTTTTCTTAAGACTTTATAATTGAAGCCTTTAAAATATGCTATTTTAAATGTTTCATCTCTGCCCTCATTACATATATCTCATCATTAGAGATAATGTTACTAAATAGTTATAGCTTTACAGCTGTTTTGATTAATGATTGCCTGGACTACAGTTTCATCAGCTAGGATTAACTTCATTTAAAGATGGCAAAACGCCACCATAACATTAGTACCAGAATTTAATGAGAAACAGAAGTTAACTTCAAGGACTTTTATAATTTAATATGGGAGATGAGCATGTTCTCATTATTTTAACGTTGCATCCTATTAAAAACTTATCTTTTTTTCTTGTGATAAAAACTTCATTCAGCAAACATTCGTGGAATACTAACTATGTGATGGTTCCTGTGGTAGGTGCTTGGTGAATGAGACTGTTTTTTCTTCCTCAAGCAAAACAGACCTTTTCTGCTAAGAGTATAGATGAGAAACACCTTCATTTCAAAAATTTCATGGCCGCTCACAATCTTGCATGACATGGTTCCCTAGGCACACATCTCCTTAATTTCCAGCCAATTTCTCTCTATATATTTCACATCAGCCACTCTCTCCACTGTCTAGATTGAGAAGTTGGCCAACCGCATTCTGGAACATTGAGTTTCGTAGGTTGGATGCATGACAAATGTCCCAATGTGGTACTGACTCCCCATCTTGTTCAACAGCTACATTTTACAGGAATGCACACCTATGTGTTGTAGAACTGTGCAATAAAATCAGAAGAAAGGAAGGCAGGAGAGGAAGAACAGTTACTAACATTTCTGGTCTACTGGGGAAAGATTTCCTTTCGTGAACGTGCAACAGTGTTGATGTTAACTTCTCTCTAAGGCAGACCTTTAATACATTTTCTGTTGTAAAAAATTCTCATGGTTTCTATGTGTTTAGAGTCTAGAGGGCAATGGGTGGATCAAAACCAATACTTTTATTCCTTATACATACTGGAAAACTTATGTACCCATATTTGCAAAGAATGTGAGGCCTTTCTATGTCAGACTATAGAACATCACTGCATGGTGAACAAAGCAAAATAGATCAGCAGCAAAAGGAAGCTGCATCCAAAGATTTCTAATGCAGGAAAACCTCGGCTATTTAGCTTGTGGTCTGGGCTTCCTAGTGGCTAAGGCAAAGAGGGGAAATAGGATAACTTGGTGTGTGTTCTTGGTAGTAGGATAACTACCACCAGTTCATTAGAAGAAGCCAGCATTATTTTTGCTCTCTGATTTCCTTATCAAAATTTATATGTAAAACACATAATGAATGATGTTTTCGTGAATTTTCATAGGAAATGAAAAAATACTCCCATATGTCACTTCATCTATTGGCATGCAGAGGGCATGCAGTGAACACTGTTGAAAGCAATGCATTGTTTGCTTCTCTCTCTCAAGGGGCAGAGAAGGGGAGTTTGAAACGCCTGGTGTATTTACTGTAGATATGTGCTTATTTTCTTTTGACCCACTGACATATGGAGCAGTAGAAAGATGTAAAGATGTCTAGTAAAGGGTAGCATTGTTAAAAGTAGGAGGGGATAAATGAAATTTTTGTGGCAGGATGATATTTGAGAGACCGATCAGGCCACTGGGAGGTTTTTAAATATGCCAGTTCCCTGTAATAGGGAGATCAGTCTCTGCTTTAGACAGCATATCCAATTTAGTAAATTATTATTATTCCGTCAAAATTAATGTGAACAATTTTCTCTTTGAGGCTGCTTTTTCCATAGGTGATGTTTTCCAGATGGGCTTTGTTCAAAAACTCTCCATGTTTTGTGCTTTCTTTTCTAGAGAAAGCCTTTTCTGACCAATCTGCCTTTCTCTTTCCCCCGTTGCAGGGAAGAGACCACCCAAAGCAAAGGAGAAGAGGAACAAGAAGAAGAAGAGGAAGCTGATAGACAGGGCCCAGGAGCAGCACAGTGTGTTCCTGGCCACAGACAGAGCGAGTCAGTAAAAGACAAGACACAGACAATGGATCTGGATTTTGTTTTGTTTTGTTTTTGGTTTGTTTCGCAAAGGTGCACAAAGCTACTCTCCACTCCAGCGCGCTGGGGAAACGGCATCTGTTGCTGCTCTGACCAGTGTGTGTTTCCAGTATCATTGTGAAAGTAAGAGCCACAGGAGTGGTTTCTTGGTTATTTATGTTTTGATTTGAATCTGGAGACTGTGAAGCAGGAGCTTGTGAGCCTGACTCAGTGGAAGCAGGCACATGATTGGCTCGCTGTGTGCCGAGAGGATCCATCCCTGGTTCCAAAGCACTTGTGAGGTGTGAGGTGGCCCATCATGGCTGGAGGAGGGACTCATGCCTATTTATGTGAAAGATACTTGGCAGGCGAAGCAGTGTTCACCTGTGACCTTTGTCTGTCCCAATGTGCATTTTTTGAGGATAAGTGTATGTGGATGCCTGCTTCGTATTACCCTTGGTGTCCCAGCGTCCGTGACCTTCCAACTGTTGGATGATGAAACTGCTTGTAATTGGGGATGTGCTATGGAAATTCCTGCTCAGTTCCACAGCAGCTCTAACATGTACATATTCTGCTGGGGCTATGTAGAAAGCTCTTCTTTACTGTATATTTATGCTTCCTTGTACGTAACAAGTCATACCAGATGAATATGATGTCACGTTGTTTCTAGTGGTTCCTAACCATTGTCTTAAATAACTGTTCTAGGTTATATATGCAAGTGGACAAGTATTTTGCTGCCTCTTGAAAAAAAATTGGGAGGGGGGTGGGCTTGTTTCTCATTGTAAAAATAGGATAAGCTAGTTTGTACATAGCCAATGCCCAGTGTCAAAACAGTTATGGACAGACCTTCCCCACTCCATGTGTCCCCCACGCAAATAAGGCAGCATGTGGCATTTGGCCATCAGAAGAGTCTAGGATAGGATGAGTTTATGAAAGACAACTGAAAACATGAGGAATTGCATGCACTTACTTGAAGAACTCCCTGTGCCATTTTATGGGCTACCTGGAGAATTTGTCACACCTAATTATTCGACTTAAGAAATTGCTAACATTCCCCAAGTTTCACTGATAGGGCATCTCATTATATCCCTGATCACTGTCGACATTACCTTCGCGAAACCATGCATGGAATTTGACTAAACCAGAGTGAATTCCAACAACTACCAGTCAGATCTCAACAGCTCTGCATTGAGTCAGAAACTTTCAGATCCAAAATGGGAGAAACAGGATGAAATTCTCCCAGGTACCATTCAGAATAATACTTTCCAAAACAGTTCCTTGGGGACAACCTGTTCTTAGAGGGTCATGAATTCTTAAAAAAAAAAAATCAATCTTCCTGATCAAGGAAAAAATTAAACAAAAAAGAAATGTTTGCAGATTATTGGAGAAATAATCAAAGCAAGGGAAAGCCTTTGTCTCACCTTGCGTTGGCAAAACTACCTCTTCAGTATTTTTGTTTGATAGTTGAGTCAAAAGCATCTTCCCAGTATCCATGTCATATGCAGCGTTGTGGAAATACTGTTCTCAGAGACAATAAGCCATATATGAATGTTGTATACAACTTTAGCGTTGGCAGTTAGTCCTCAATTGTTCCCCTCCTTCACATCTGTTGATGCTATACTCCTAGTTACCAAGTGGGGAGGGGGTCTCCTTTGTAGAGTTCTTCATTGTTAATAAGTCAATACTTGTTCTGTTTCTGGGATGTTCTTTTTTGTGCATTAAAAAACTTCAAAAGTATGTTTGGTGAAGATTTTTTTTTGTTGTAAAAATGTGCAGTTGGGATAAAAATGAAATTCTTTAACTATTAAACCCCCCCAAGTAATTGTTATTTTTTAAAAGAAAACAAAATGGAAAAGCAATGTTAGCAGTTATATCTAGGACACTAGCTAAAGTCAGGTTGCCTAGTCCAAGCAATCTCCAGTTTCAACTTATCTGTGAGATGAGGATCAGTTACCTACCTACAGGGATGTAATTGACTGAGTAGTACATCTCTAGGGCGGTATTTGAAGAACTAAATTGGGTAAAATGTGTAAAGAACAGTATAACAGCAACAGTATTAGCAAAAACTATGCCCATTACCTGTTATTACCTCTTTCACTGGATATTTACTCTCTCAGACACATTGGTTTCTCTTTAACAAAATAGACTATATTTCTGAGTGTATTGGTACCCTTCAATGTATTACTTTGATTCCTAGAAAATATCTACTAAACTTCTATTCTTGGAGATTATATATATATATATATAATGTTGTATTTTCAAGTTTCCCCCAGAAACCCAGCTTATAAAGCAATATATGCACAGATAGGAATTACTGAATTGACTGAGGCACTGCCAATGACATAAACCAACCTGGATGTTCAAACAAGAAATATAACAGCAGGGATTGGTTGCAAAAATGAACAAAGGGCAAAAAAGCTAGCATAGATAAGCAGCACAGCCCTGAAATTAGTAATGCCAGGAAGCCACTCTTTCCCTGAGTTAGAGGATAACAAGGAGAAGTGGAGTTTCCACAATCCAGAGGTGAAGTCCTCCTTGTTAGAATTAGTACCAAAGCAGGAGCTGGAGTAAGAAGTGGGACTGGCAGAAGGAACAAGGACCAAGGATAAAGAACCTGTTAGGATCATCTCTAATAATGTCATTACTGTGGAAAGATCGCTTGGATCAGAGTGAGAAGAAGATACCCTGGGGCTCCCCACCTCCCAGCTTCAGTTTCCCAGCAGCGCTGCTCTTGTCCAGTTGTTCCCAGTAACTGAAAGTGATATGTTCTCTATGAAGCATACAGTAGATCTAAGTAGACACACAAAATAGCATAATCATAACCTTGCCTTCCTGGTTTAATACTTAATATCTTTACCTGTTTAAACAAAGATTCTTGTTCTTATCACTTATTCCCACTGCTCTTTTCAACTAGTCATTAGATTTTATGTGTATGTGGGAACAATCTCTTGACGTTCTCTGTACTCCTTCGCTCTCCTTACTCTACGTCTAATTCTGTTTCTCTTCTGGACTCATCAATTACACCTAAATATTCTTGTCCCAATAAATAGACACCCCAGACATGAACCCACACATCTTAAACCAACTAATTCTTGACAAATTAACTAAAACAAATCCTGACAGAAAGAATTGTCTCTAATGGTGCTGATAAAATTAGATATATGCTTGTGGAAATAAGAAACAAGATCACTACTTTTCACCTTATGCAAAAATCAACTCTAAGATCAAGAATCTAAATGTACAACCTGACACCATCAAATTACTAGCAGAAAACATCAGGAACACCTTGCAGTACGTAGACATAGGCAAATACTTTTTAGAGAGGACCCCACAAGCATAGGCATTTAAAGCAAAAAAATACACAAATGGGACTACATCAAGCTAAGATGTTTCCATAATGCAAGGGAAACAAAGTGAAGAGACAACCAATAGAATGAGAGAAAATATTCAAAAATTACACAACAGGTAGGATTAATATCCAGGATTTACAGGGAACACCAAAACAAGAAACCCAGTTAAGAAATTGGCAAAGGACATAAATAGGTATTTTTCAAATGCTGTAGTTCAAAGGTCTGATAGATACATGAAAAATACTCAGGTTCTCTAGCGATTAGGGAAATGCAACTAAAAACCACAATGAGATTCTACCCGGTTCTGGTGAGAATAGCCTACATAAAAAGTCCACAATGATCATCACTGGCAAGGATACATGGAAAAAGGCACCCTAATCCATGGTCAGTGGGAATGTAAACTAGCGCCGCCCCTGTGGAAGTCAGTATGGAGATTCCTCAGACAGCTGAAGATAGCTCTCCCGCAGGACCCGGCCATCCCAATCCTAGAAGTATATCCACACGAAATGGAATCTGCCTAGGAGAGATACCCACAACCCCATGTTTATCACAGCACAACTTACATTGCCTAGGCTTGGAAGGAACCGAAATAGCCATTGACGGATGAATGGATAAAGAAAATGTGGTACATGGTACACTTACTTCACAGAATAATACTCAGCGAAGAAAGAGAATGAAATCTTACCATGTGCAACAAAATGGACCCTCTGGAAACTATTAGGCTTAGTGAAATAAGCCAGTCCGTAAAAGACAAATATCAGATGTTCTCCCTGGTCTGAGACAACTAACAGCACATAGACACACAACTACGGACTCTACTAAGCACATTAGCATACTGGGAAACAACAGATGTCTACAGCATGTACCTTTCCTTCTGAATGACAGAACTCCCATTACTATTTTAAATTATACTTTTACATTTTTTTCCACATTTGTAATATTAGAATACATTTACATATTCGAAAATTAAGCCTGTAACAGTAAAATGAATTATGCCATTGTAGAAACTTGGGGACAAATAATAACAGGAGGATATTGGAAGGGAGAAGGCAGAGAGAGGGAGGAGGTGTGGTCCCCTGTGCGTGTAAATCTGTATAAGGGAAAAAAACAACTGTGTTAAAAGAATCTTGTTACCAGCTTCACTCACTTGAAAACTTCATTTGTATTTCTACCACTTAACTTTCTACTGACATATTTAGCCTTCTGTTGTCTTGCTCAAACAGCTTCCCTTTTCTTACTTTTTCACGTAAGTATAGTGGTTTTAAAACATCCTCTTCATCCATGTAACACGGAGATTCAAAAAAGACAAACACTGAGATGATTTTTCCCCTCCAAAGACTCCAGTGTTTCTTTACCAGTAAACTTGGGCATGCTCACCGTATGATTGATACCTCTTGACTCGTGAAGGCATACATTTAAGGGTAAACTTGCCTTTAAGAGTAAGCGGTTGGCTTCATTTCATTTGGATAAATTTACAGTAGTGGGGATGGCTGGATCATATGGGAGATTTATTTAAAAATCTGAGAAATCTCCTTTGTGTCTTCTATAGTGATTCCATTCATTTACATTCCCACCAACAGTGGATTAGAGTCCCTCTCACCCTGCCCCATCCTCATCAGTATTTATTTACATATTTAAAG